GCAGGTAACATTGCCATTTTGGGCAAGTTGTTTCATTTGCATTTTGATCAATTTTGCTTAATTTACATAAAAATCATTCATTCTTGCTGTCTTTTATGTTGAAAGTACAGCAAAATACCTTACCTTCTGGCAGGAGGAGGAGAATAATTTTACAGTTCATCTTCCTTCCATGCAAAAACAAGACAGATGAGGATTTGCATCCCTAATTCATATTTAAAACATCAACCTTATTACACCAATGATTTTGTAGAAAACTTGCAGTGGAAAAATAACATCCCCTCATAGGTAGGCTGTGTGAACGCTACAGCATTTCCTACTTGCTTTTTATATGGAGCTGCTCCTTAGAGAATGAAGGCCAGAGCACACTGCGTTAAATCTGACTTTGGCCTCTACCTAGGGCAGCTCCATTTACATGTAAAGCACTTTTCAGTAAAAACTAATTTAAGTACTGATTACATTACTGGGTATTCTCAGATGGGTATTCTTTGTTATGATGTAGAGATGTGAAAACAGGACATTGAAGAAAGATGACAAGGAAACAGACAGTTCATTTGAAATGTAGTGTCAGGGGAGGATTGTATGGATACCATGGACTGCAGGAAATACAAATATATGGGTTCTATATAAAATAAAGCCAGAACAATCTCACTAGAAGAAAAGGATAATATCCATTATCTGGATATATTGTGAGAAGAAAAGCTAGTTAGTTAAGTGGTGACAAGTCAATTTCAAGTCATGGGGACCTTTCCAGGTTTTTCTAGGTATAGACTATTCAGGAGTACAGTAGTTTACCAATCCCTTCTTCTGGGGGCACTCTGGGACTATGCAGCTTGCCCAAGGTGACACAGGCAAGACAGTAATGATGGAAGGCAGAGGAAGAAGAGGAAGAAAAAACAATGAGATTGGTTGACTCAATAAAAGAAGCCATGGCCTTTTGTATACAAGACCTGAGCAGAGTTGTTACTGATAAGACATTTTGATTCATATAGTTGCCCTAAGATGGCTGTGACATTATGGCACATAACAACTGAAGTCAAATTGATTTCAACTGGTTTACTCCAAGCGCCACTAAGACTGGATTTAACATGCTGCCTCCCTGCAGAAACAGATTTGTAATTCAGTCTTGTCCCAGGAACTTCCTGTCATCCTGCATCACTTTGCATCTGTTTCTTGGCACCGAGGCTTAAAAGGAAAGCTTCCTGGGCACCAGAGGCACGCAATCTGTGTTTTTGCAACAAAAAGTATGCTACTAATAGGGCTTGCTTGTTGAGGTGGTGGTGCAGAAGAGTTGCCTCCTTTGTCAAAAATAGGAAATATATACAATTACCTGTTTGCTTATGGTTTTTATGTCTATTACTGTCAGAATTACAGTGGTGCCTCGCTTAACGAGCGCACCATTTAACGAAGAATCCGTATAGCGATCCCTTTTTGACGATTGGGGCATCCGACGGCCATTTTGGAGCCGCCGATCAGCTGATCGGCGGCTCCAAAATGGCCACCGGACGCGAAAACATCGCTGGAGGGGTAAGTTTGGACGCTTATTGGAACGCATTAAACTAAGTTTAATGCGTTCCAATAGGCTTTCCTTACCCGCACAGCAATGTTTTCGTATAGCGAAGGTTAATCTGGAACGGATTAACCTCGCTATACGGGGCACCACTGTATATCTATTTATTCAATTTACATCTCACCTTTCTCCCAACAAGGGGACTCAAGGTAGTTTGCTGATTTTAATCAGCTGCTAAAGCAAGTTTTTCCACCTCCTGCTAGACAAGGGAGATTGAGAGAAAGATGAAGGGAAACAAGGAGTAGTTATTGTAATTCTAGGGAGAAGTGGATGCAGTGCGAAGGCAGGAGTGTTTGGGAAGACAATTATATCAATTATGGGAGAAGGAAGATCAACAGGGTGTTAATTTTTCTCAAACTGTCTCCGAGTTTGCAGTATCTGTGTAGCCTTGGTGACAGCCACACTGCACTGAATGTACTATTGCTAAAAGCCAGAATGGTGAACAAGGAAACAGTCATGGGAGAAACAATAAGAGTATGTGAGTGTATGGGTCTGCATATGTAGCATTTGATTTGTTGCAAAGCATATGATTTATTTATTCTGTGTAGCATACGGTTTATTTTATTTTGGTTGGTGTGGCAATAACCACACTATTTGTATTTCCTTTGGGTATGCTAGATGAGAAGGTTTCCTTCATGATGCAAATAGATATGAGTAAAAAAGCATGGTCTTTGCATAAAAATTGTCTGCCACAAATGCACCAACTAATTCACCCTACAGTATTTCCCAGCTATATAATAGAATTAACTACAGGAAGACTGGATTTTAAATATTATTTGGTCCAGGACTTGAGTTAGTAATCTTTTAACTACAGCACAGTGTTTTCACCTCAGATGTTACACTGCAATTTAGGTTGTGTCTTTCTGCAATTCAGATTTGTGATGCTGAATGGGCACATTGAACTTTATAGTGATGTCTCAGTCTTGAAGGGATGTATTGCATTAAGTTGTGTTGTATATCTCTCCACACCACCACCAGTTTGTACATGGATAGGCAGTTGACCAGGGCTTAATTTTATCATAACTTGAAAAGACAGAATTTGGTCATGAATCCATGTCCCACATTTCATTCTATCTCTGTATTCAGGGCTGTGTTTGTCTGCATTGCAGACAAGAATATTTTAAAATGAATTTCCCAATGGAGAAATTAAACCAAAGGATTTTCTTCTCCAAATTTTTACATACAAATGCTTTTTGGGATTTATTCCATATCCATGTCTGAAGATTATCACAATTGCAAAGACATTGTGTTCTATGCTTTACTTGACCCATTAGATTGGATTCCTCAGTGAAATACTCTGGAAACTCAAATTAGGGAGGATTAAGCTAGCATGACCAAAATTAGCCATATTAACTTAAAGTGTACTGTTGGCCAATTAATCGACTAAAGTCCAGTAGCAAGTCACAACTAGAGTATGCTCATTGAATAAACAGAACTTGTAAAATAACTGACTCATAAAATCTTCATTGATTCAACAGGCTTATTGTAGTTGATTTACTAAACTAAGCAACAGAATTTTGGCCATTATTTTATTGATATATGCTTTAAATTCTTCCATGTAAGGCACAACAATGACCAAATATCCTGTGAATCAGCAAGGATATAATGTGCAATTATTTCAGCCTTCAAAATGTCTCTCCTAAATGCTGAAATCAGTTTGTTCTCTCTCATCTCAGTGATTTCAGTATTCCTCTGAGAGATATGTGATTAAATCTACATGATGTAGAGTGCCAATTATTGTGGTTCTCAATAGAAGGTGGAAGGATGCAATTGTAAAAGAGACCAGTGACTGGTGACAAGGTCTGCAAAAATGACAAAGTGTACAAGGTACAGCAGCTTGCAGACCACTCCTGACATAACACAAGATTTCCCTACCATCCTTGTTGTATGCTACTACAATTTACAGACAGGGAGGTTGTGGTTATTCTACATTTTATATAGGTTTCTATGGACATTCATCTTGAGTGGCTAGGGCTTTGATAAGTTATGGCTTGGATGTATGTTAGGAGAGACAGGAAAAATGGTTGAGAGATGTGATGGAATGTTAATGGATGGAATTGTGAGCTGCTTGGTTGGTATGGTTTACAGCTGGAGAATTGCTCTTTGCTGTAAGAGTATATGTGTGTATGTAAGAGTGAAAAAGACAAAGCTATAATTTAGATGAGAGTTCATATTTGAGGCTGTCAGAATAAAGACAGAAACTGAGATATTAGGAGAAAGAGTAGAGCTATGAGGTAGACAATGAAGATGTGTGCTATTATTAAGAGTGAAAGTGTCTGTTTTTGTGAAAAGTCTATGAAGACCATGTTCTTGTTGGAACTCGTGTAAAAACAAGCATCTGTCTACATGTATAAAGAACTAAAGAACTAAAGATTTGATATCACATAATGCATAACTGTCTTAATCTTTTTTTGTTTTTGTTTTTTGAAACAAAATTTATTTTTGGTTTACAGATCCTCTTTCTCAGTCACGAGACCTTATACCCACATTTACTGCTAGTTGGTGGAGGGACACATAGTTTATGTATTGTAACGAAAGTAATATGAGTTGTGTGTTGCTCCAGAAGTGTTCTCTTCTTCTTCTTCTTCTTCTTTAAAGGCAGTGTAAAAGCTCCTAGCTGGAGCAGTGTTTAAAGAGCAGCACAAGGGAAAAACTGGTTGTTTGTTCAGTTTGATAAAAGGCATAATTCAGGAGAAAGAGTTCCTATTTACAAAATAAACCACAATTCCAAATGTAGTGCAGGTGTTTGGGGGATATTAGTTTTGGTGGCAGCACACACCGGGATATAATGTAATAAATAAATGCACCACTTCTGTGAACAACAAAAATAATACATATCTTGTTTAGGTTTTGTTCCAAATGGAAAATACTTTTGGGCACCTCCACCTACAGAATCTGGCAAGCACACTCAAACTCTTTACTGTGTAAGCAGTCAGGTTGTGTAAAACAAAATCAAAGAAGACATGGCAGAGCCCCACCCAGTAAGGTAGAAAGAATTTTGAGTCAAGGCAGAATCCATCAGAACATTGTGAAACTCCCTGGCTTGTGAGCCTCTCCTTTAGCAGGATACAGTAGCCTTCTGGAGTGGTGCAACTGTACTCCCTTGTCCCTCTGAGACACTGCCTGTGCCCATAAAGGGTCATGGTCTGATTCAGCAACCATTGCCTCCTGTGGAATAGGGGGAACGGAGGCTGTACTAAGCATATGGCATATCAGAGGAAGTCAGCAAAGCAACTGATTGAAGCCTGGAAGTTGCAGGAGTCCAAGACGTACCTCCTCTCTATCTGTGTACTCTCCTTTAGGGGTTCAGTGATGGACAACATGTCAAGTTATGGTTGAGAACAACAAATGATGAGCCAGTCTTTGTCTGAAAGTGAATCAGTATACCATTTGCACCTTGTCTAATAACCAGGCTTCCTGTCCTCTCTTGCAGGTTCATTCCTGTACCTTAACACATCAGAAAATATGAACTTCGTTATTCTGAGCCCTTGGCTGAAGAGCAACAGTGAAGACTGTACTGTACAAGTGGCCATCTACAGATACCTCCAACAAAGTGGTGAATATGCTGTTGAGGTCCTCCATGCTGATGAGAGTCGTGTCAAAATCCCACTGATTCCAAGCAGAGAAAAACATGGGTAGGTGTTTGGTTTTTTCTCAGTTTCCTAATGATCAAAGTTTGTTTTAGGGTGAATAGATTTCCTATCCTTTGATATGTTCAAACTGGTATCTGTAGCAGGTTAGATTTTCATCCTTTTATATATATGTGTGTGAAATTTATTTTGTTTGTGCTATTTCTTAAAGTAAATTACATTTTTATCATAGTTTGAGATAAGGAAAACTATGCTTATTTTTAATTTAAAATAATAAGATTTGTTTATCCTTAATTCTAAATTACAAATTGATTTTTTAATTTTTATTTTTTTTATTTTGGGGGGAAACGGTGTAGGTATGATGGTGGTGGAGAGGTGTGAAGTTTTCTCAAATATCAAAACTGGGGCATAATGTGAAAAAGCTTTGGAGTTGCTGCCCTAGAGGAAGAACATCGTTTTGTTTTCATGGAGTCCTTTATTCATACTCACACTTTTTAAAAATTTCTGATTGGTAGTGATGTGTCTTCCTTCCTTCATCTTGTTCTGCCAGTCACAATCCCATCCAGTACCCTAATCAGATTTAATATGGAATCTTCATCATCAAATACTAACGGTGAAGATTTAATATGAAAACTGTCTTAAATTTCAGATGATATAATTATAATCATATCATTGATATAGTGATGATTTTAAAAATTGCCACTGTTGTATACAGATTTTTAAAAATCTCTTAAGGGAGAGGAATGCTGTCTAGAATGCCCTGGTCTAAAACAGGGGACAACAACTTCTAGAGAACCAAGGGCTCTTACTCCTGAACTTGGAGATCCAATTAAGATCCTCACTCATTCCCAAATATTGTTACTTTTAAAAAAGGTTTAAGCTTCCTCACATCCTTGAGTGCAATGGTTCCAGCCTTTTGAAATTGTGCCCCCCCTTAATGATAGCCCAGTAACCCATGACTTTGTGTGCATAAAAATAGACTTTAATAGAGTAAAAAGTCATCCCTTCCCATCAAGTAAAGGCTTCTTTCTCTCCCAAAGGGCCTGTTTCTCATACATACACATACACACTAGCTTTAATATCCTGCTCAGAAAAGTCAAGGAAGAAACTATTTAACAAAGGCTACACCAAAGGGCCTGTTTCTCATACATACACACACACACAGAGAGAGAGAGAGAGAGAGAGACAGACAGACAGACAGACAGACAGAGACAGAGACAGAGACAGAGACATTGGGATCCCCATGGGGGTCACGACCCCCAGGTTGGGAAACATGATCTAGTGCCTATTTTTTTAAAAAAAAAAGAATTTGAATCAATATTTAGAGGGCTGTTGAGGTCCTGTGGAGGGACATGGTACAGTTGTCTCTCATATACACTAGAGGGCGTAAAGGAACTTTTTGAACAATATTATTGTTGGGCAGAGGTTTTGACACTCTTGTGCTCACCCACTACCATTCATAGACAGACAACAGGGAAAAACTCCATAAACTGACTCCTTTTTTCATCTGTTGACCACTTCTCACCCAATACAAAGCAATTGTCAAGACTATTTTTCAACAAGTTCTTTAGGTATCAAAATATCTACAAGACACGGTAGTGAACAGAAGAGGGTATCCTGTAGACCAGTGGTCCCCAACCTTGGGCCTCCAGATGTTCTTGGACTACAACTCCCAGAAGCCTACACCACCACCTCTTCTGGCCAGGATTCCTGGGAGTTGAAGTCCAAGAACATCTGGAGGCCCAAGGTTGAGGACCACTGCTGTAGACCACCTTGATCTCTGACATGGGTGTTATCGATATCCTGGCTACCCTTTGCTATGTAAAGCTTGGCATACTTTTTCCTGTTAACAATGGTGGCATGGTATTATGCAGCAGTATTGGGCCATTTCCTGGCATTTAGAATCATGGGTACAGAAACACAATATCCACTTTCATAAACTGGAGAGTTTTTTTAAGAATTAAATTAAGATTAATTGCGAAAGATGTCTCAATTTTTTTCAGACTCATTGTGCATTCTCTTAGATTGTGGTTAGCGGCAAAACAGCATGAGCATAGTCAAGTAAACTGATTCTGGGTACTTTAAAGCAATATTCTTTGTTTAATTTAGAATTTAATTTGAATATATGCACAATGTAAATTCCTAGTGTTCTGATTACCAACTTTACCTTCATGGCTACAGAGCACATACTGAGAGGAATAATTCAAACCAGTCATCTTGTTTGCTTGTTTAACATGGAAAGCTGCAGAGAAAATGATTATAACAGTGAGACATTCTGGCTTATTGTAATAAAAGGCAGCATGGCTAATCAAAGAGTGGAGGAGAAAAGTTCCAAAGAAAAAGAAATGGTGGTATCAGGAAAATGGGAAAACCCTTATCCATAGGGTAAAAACTAAGTGTGATGCCATACATCTCAGTCCTAGGAACATGGCACATTCTAAACATGATAAATACAATGCATTGGGGGGATATAGTGATTGGAACTCTGATGTACTGGGAAGGAACTTTATATTTCTTGCTACCATCCTGATTCAAAACAAAACAAAATTCCCTTCCCCAGGCACTACTATTAGGAGTAGGACTGAAGCTCAAATTAGCAACAGTTAGTGAACAGAAGCAGAAGTGGACAGACTACCAGTGCTTTTAATACTTAGCCAATTTTTATAATATAAAAAGAAAAGAATCATTGTTGAAATTTATATGAGATTTAGTGACAATATTTTTATTATCAGTCTTGGAAATTCTGCTTGCACTGCCCTCCAGCAACTGACAGTAGAAAATGAATGTCACTTTTTAATATAAACCACACATATGATCTTCTGGTACATTAGTGGACAGAACTGTTCAACACAACTGGTACCTTGTTAATGAGCTGCCTAAAACATATTGTTAAAATGCACTTTATAATGTGCATTTCAGAAAGCATATTTCAAAATGGAGCGATCACATACACATCTATGTTTCCTTGTCAGTACTTACTTTAAGTAGGATGCAATCCCATCATTTCCCCTACTGACTTAAAATCACCCCTCTTGTCTTCAGTGATCACAAAACATCTTAGGGTATTTCACAGAGTAGAAGCTATACCTGAATTTCAAAATGTGAGCTGAACTAATTTATCTCCTGGCCCTAATGCAGAGGCAAACAGTTCAACAAATGAGCTCCCAAATCAGCAAAATAGCTGGTGTGTTCAAGCCTTCCTCAGAGAGGAACCTTTTATTTATTTATTTATTTTCATTTTGAGGGCAAAACCAGACATTACAAATAATTTGCAATTAGAACTGGAAGGATTTTTGTGTTGGAGAGATGTGATTCTTGCAAAATTTCTTGTTTGAGAAATCAAACTGCAAAGGCATCTCATGATTCCTAAAGACTGAATTAAGTAATTTCATTTGCCAGCCACAGGTAGAGAAATCCTGCTATGACACTTACGCACAATTAGCTCTTGCAGATATCTGGAATGTCTCTGCCCTGAGTCCCTGCCTGCCTCCCCACATTGCTGTAGAGACAGGCAGAGGATAATCCTGGTATTTTTGGAATATTGGTATAATCCTGTAAAGTCCAAAACCCAAACTATCTCTAATGCTCCACAGACAGGCCAGACAAGACATGTTAAGAATGTATGCATCAAAAGTCTGGTTGGGTCAGGTAGAATCTCCTTTCTTCTACCATTATCATATAAAGGAAGTGGACACTTGAGATCTAAATCAAATGGATGACTGTTTGTGTTAGTGGGGAGCAGGATGTGTGGGTGGAAATGACAGCCTCTTCTCGGCCACTTATTAAAACTGAACACTGCCTCGCATGGCTGTTAAACTTGACAGACAAATAGCTACATCTTTAAGGGATTATAGAAGCTAGTATCGTGTGTCCATCATTTCTGCCCAGAAATTTTTGGAGGATAGCAAAATAGATGGCCTCTTTCTTGGTGTGCATAATGAAGATTTTACTGCCTTCCTACCCCTACCTCCAAGGATACATTTTAAATGGCGTGGGTTGTTACTCTAATATAAAGCCTTCTTCCTATGAATTTCTGCTGCTGTGTTTAATGCCTGTTGGATCTAGAGTCCATGAAAATAAGTAAATAATTTAATGTAGAATGGCAATCTTGAAAGAGAATTATTAATATGGCTATGGAAATACTGCAGCTGGGACATCAGTCTATACAAGTTTTTAAGATTTCTTTAAACATTCCTGGAGTATTATTTTTCATCTGTATGTCAGGAAGATGCCTTACTGCTGGAGATTAAGGTTTAGATACCTGAAGAAGATGCCTGAAGACTGAAATTCAAAGATTTCTAATCCTAATATGATTGGTTGTTGTAGGTTTTTCGGGCTATCTGGCTGTGTTCTTGAAGCTCTCAACAAAGTCTGGCTCCCAGTACTGAAAAACACAACCTGCAAAAGGTCAACGAACTCTACCCAGCCACAAGGACCAGTGATCACTGCACACAAAAGACCAGATAACAACACCTATCAATCACAGTGACAGATCATATCTCCCCCTTATCACAACAATACACCCACAACAAAAAAACACCCTGATCACCATAATCACCCAATCTCCGGAAAAGGACAAAAAAAAGAATCCCATAGCTATAAATACTCAACTTTCCCACAAAGCGGCCCCAGAGCACAGACAGAGTTCTGACTCCTATCCTCTGAAGATGCCAGCCACAGAGACTGGTGAAAAGTTAGGAAGAAAAAAACTCCAGAACATGGCCAGACATCCTGAAAAATCTGCAACAACCATTGGATCCTGGCTGTGAAAGCCTTCGAGAATACATTGTCCCCTTATCCCAGAACAAGACACGAGGGAACTGTTATGGAATAAACATGAGCCACACTTTACTGAATATTCAAAGTTATCCTTTATGGAAAAAGGGGGGGTCCTGCTGTAGTGTGGAATCAGGTTCTGCAGAGGGGTCTCAGTGGACCCCTACCAAACTATGGGTGCGTCCCAAGCCCCAAGATCTTGCAGTCATGAAGACAGCGAGAACCTGGCCAGCCCAAATTTGACCAACCCCAGACCTCCAGTCTCCTTC